TCCCCTTTAATTCTCTTCCCCATTCCTCCAGAGGTAGGAAAAAGTGAGCAAGCAGCTCTGTGGCATTTAGTTGCTGGCTGGTTTAAACCACAACACTTAAAATAAGAGTATGAAACAAATCTTGTTATAGATCTTGTTTATTTTGAATTAAGTCACTAGCTAAAAAGAAAAAGAAATAAAAAGCTGTGATAAAAGTATGCTACAAGATACTTTTCCAACATTCACATGACTCAGATGCATTTACCTTCACTGGTTCTTGTGTTACTAGGGGTTGGTTATCAATAGCTCCTGGTTTCTGAGGATTAAGCTGCAGCAAAGTATTTCCATTGGTTCCCAGGAAACACTGGTTATTGTTGTCCGAAGTATTATGCTGCCTGGCAAAACATACATCAGTTCCTGGAGTGCCAGGGTAAAGAGTATCTGGAACAGAATACAAGGGGAAAAAAAAAACCAAACCTCTCTGTTTCAGTTCATGAGTCCATAACATAAATAAATCAGTTACACTGTTGTATCTTTTTGTTGTTTTTTAAAAAAGTTGTTGAAGAAGTCTGCTATCCTTTATTATCTCAGGAAAACACGCAACTCTTCCAAAGCACGGAGTGACAAATACTAGTACTCTCAGAAAAGAGAAAGAATTGGTTATATGAGATCCAAAGCAGATACTTATACAAATACTGGTTTGAAAACAGCCTAACTAGGTTTGTGTGAGCAAATGTGCTTGGAGTTTGCTTGTCTGGATGCCCAAATATCCAACTCTTAAATAAAGTTATATACAAAATTAAATATATATGCAAATAATGCCTTATTTTTATTTTTTCCTCTTGAAACAGCTAATATTTTTATTCTTATATAGCCTCCTTTTGCTATGCAGAACACTAAATCTAAATTTCAGGTTAGAAAAAGGAAAAAGAAAGAACCTTTAATCTAAAGCTTGTCTCCCTTCCTGCTCTTCCTCTGTTCCTCAACCCAAAAGCGATCACAGTAATTTATCTACTTTAAATTGAAGTTAAAATTTTAAGATACAAATTTTAAAATACCAGATGCAACATTCAACTGTCTTATAAGGGCAAAACCCAGCATCTCAAATTCCCATCAGAACTGACTGAAAATCATCTCTAAAATCTCTTCTTTCACAAAGACAGCTCCTAGAATCGGCACAAACTCACTTAAATCACATGCCCTGAAAATGCTATGTTTTTCCTATTTTTTTTTCTTCTTTCTCCTTTGTACTATCTGAGGTCATCTCATCGCAAGACAAAGTACAATACCAACAAGGTATGAGCTAGAAACAACTCCATGTGAAGGGAGGAGCGTAATCCACTCAGAAAATAAATGATAGGACAAAAACTCGAAAGCAATTCTAGAAACTAATCATAGCATAAAAGATGACTTGCTGTTCAAACAAGACTGTTTCTTGTTTAGCCACCAAGATGAACAAATCTCCATACTTCACCGATGTCCACATGTAGGTCACCTCTGCCACCTAAACCGTGTTATCTTTCGCCTGGAGGAATCCATGCAGTATCTAGTTTTCTCAAAACCTGCTCTACATTAAACCTCCAAGGAAATAAGATGTTATGCTTACTGCTGCTAGTGGTCTCTGAGGCTTCTGATGCAGTAGAAATATTATCTGAAAACTTTTCTTCTGTTGCACTGATGTAATTAAGACCTCCCATTTTGTCTTCTCCCTGTTCTGAAGTATTGGCTGCAGCAGCTACGAGCGAATTCTTACCTCCACTCAAGACAGATGAAGGCTCTATCACAACAGGGTTTGCATCCTAAAATTGGTAGGCAAGTAGAAAAGTTAATTATAAGCCAGTATCAAAGATGTTTAGCATCAGCCAAACCAGTCACTAAAATTCACAGCTGTGTGGCCACTTTTGCATATCACAATGAGCTTTATAAAAAAATATACATTCTACATCTACCGATGCAAAATCTGCGGAAACAAACAGCCAAAATTGTTAAACCAATTGAACAAACTCTTCTGCACAATATAAAATTGTGAAATATCAGAATTATTTTCTCTATCTAGACATATAAAAAGACGACCATTTTAGACAGCTATAATTCCAAACTACAAATATTCGAAGATTTTTCCTGATTGAATTTCACATGGTTAAATGAGAACACAAAGCACAAGAACAAAAAAATCATTCTTTCCTCACACCTGCAACATTTTAGTCTTCTCTAACTTTGTTTTGAAAAAAAGTTCCTTTTTTTCCTTTGGAGAAACAGCATTGCAAAGGCAATCTGGCTCACGCTTAGGCAAGATAAAGGTGGAAAAAAAAAATCTGCATCTCCCCAAAAGCATAACTTGCCTGCCCAGTACAGACAAGATGTAAGAAGAATCCTACCCAATTTACAGCACCAGTCACAACAAGAAATGGCAATAAATGAGGAAACAGAAGAAAAAGGGCATTAACTGAGCCTCAGAGATGAAAAAAGAAAATCCATGCAATGAACATCACGGTTAGGGCATTAACTGAGCCTCAGAGATGAAAAAAAAAAAAATCCATGCAATTAACATCACGGTAAAAACACAGGAAAAAGGGATATTTCCTGGTCTATGTTGTCCCCTATTTATCACATCACTAAACACAGTATCTTGTCAAATAACAAAACTGTGCAGTAAAGATCAAAGTATATAAGACCAAAACTATGTTGGAATTAGAGCAATCATTTACTGAGTTTCACAGAAATTCTGAGTGTTCTTTTTGCTCGAGAGGCAGAGTGACTAATGGCACTGTGCTGTTGTGCAAGGATTAGGTATGAAATCATGTGCATGTCTGAGTACCTACACTATGACAAGGATCAAACCACCCAGTATTTCAGGCATTTAAGCCATCAGTTGGCCAATTCATTGTGCACAAAGAATAACTGTAATTACACGGTTAGTTAATGCACACGTTGCAGTTTTCTGAGTATTTTTAGTTACTTGTATTTATAAAACAACTCAAACACTTGCGTGATTACTTATCACCGGATAAACTATTTCTCAAAATAGTTTTATTTCACTTATTCTACATTCTTGGTTGTGTACCTTGCAAAGAATATTGATCCCCACATGAATTTAGTTTTACTGTTTAATTTTATTAAATATGCTTTTTTTTGGTAAAATTCATCGTGATGCTTTACCTTGAATATTTTAGTTGGAGAATATTAAAGAGCACCCTGTAACTATAAGGTTTTAATAGGACTCCTTTGATCATCATCAGGTGCTGTACTACTTTCCATCATTGCCTGTAAATCAAATTACACCAATTTCCTCTTTTATAGGTCCAGAAAACGCATGCTGTGTATTTGTGGCCCAAGCAAAGTCAAAACCAAAACAGACAGCTTTATTATCAAATGGATCAAAAGACTTAGAGGGAAGTACTATTGTGAGAGCATGTTTTTATTCAAAAAAGTATTTTGACACACAGGAATGATGAAACAAAGTACAGAAAGAGGTGACAGTTTAAGGAAATTATCGTGAAAAGCTCATCATGTGATGATGATTCAGCAAAACAATTACTTTCCACTAAGAGACAAGGGATGCTTCATTTCAAGGATTACTGGTTAAGCAGTCATTTGCTCCCCACTCTTTTTCCATCAACACATTGACAAACAAAAAGAAATCACTTATTTGGTATACACCGTCCTCATACTTACGTATTTGACATATTCTTTCCACTGGTGCCACCATGGCATTGCAATAAGAAACCAGTTGTGCCCTGGCTGAAGGCCATACCTGCTTTCTCTTTCTAACCAGCCTCTGCACATAAAGAATGAACAACATGAAGTATTAGTTGAAACCAGGAAATTACAGTCCTTCTTTTGAAAATATTACAAGGTGGTTCTGATTTAAGATTCTAAGCAAAACACACACCTGATAATCTGTCCTTCCTCTTCCGGAGTGGCAGGTCGTAGTCCCAAAACTATATGACAGACCTGGAAAAATAAAGTAATTCTTATTAAGAACTACGCCACTATGAAACAAGCATTAGGTAAACGAAAGAAGAGAACAACTGTAACAGGACTTTTCAGAAAATTCTTTTAATTACGTAGCAAGATTACCTAAAATTGAACAAATCACTAAAAAAAAAATAATAATATTTTGAGCTATGAGATTCACAACCTGTTCCCATTGTTAAGACAAAGTTACCGAGAATGCCCCAAGGCAAATTAAGGTGAACAGAAAATAAATTTTCAATATTTTCATGTCTGAAGCACATGCTACAAAAGATCACAGTAGCTGACATGGATCAGATATACAAAAGTTAAGATGTCTAAATGTACTGGAAAGAGGGAAGGAGGAACTGGGAGAACACAAGCTGTTGGAAGAGGATAAGCCAAAGGTCAAAAAAAAAAACCAAAATGAAAAGGGCAAAAATGGGTAGAGGCAGTTGTATAAGGAACTGAATGGAAAACAAACACATGAAGAGACCAAGGGAGGAGTTTAAAGCAGTCCAACCAACGAGTCACCACTGAAAACACTCCCAGAATTGTAGAACGTTCTTTGAATGTCTGTTTTTTTTTTTTTCTTTTCTTTACTTTTTGAAACAAACGCAAAAGGAAAAGGCACCATCCCCTCGCTGGCTACTCGATTTGGGTGGGGTTTTATTTCAAGTACCAGACAGCAGTCCCAGATGGCCAGTATTTCACTCCTCTCCTCCTAGTAAAAGCATCCTGGCCTTGGCTGCAGCGATGGCTCCGCTGGTGTCTCCCGGCAGCCCCCCAGCCACCGGCGTGCGGCAGGGAGCGATGACGGAGGGAAGCAGGCTCTGCAGGGTCTTTGTTTCCCATCACAGGGAGGAGGGTCAGCTGTCTCGTCTCCGAGACGTTTTTCAAATTGGTTGCTACTCATAACATGATTTATAGTTTTCCCTTATGTCTCTTCCGAGGCTATCAATTTGCATCTCAGCTGGAGACTTCTAATGACTGGTGAGATATCTTATTTAAATTTATATTACTGTGAGAGAGACCATTTCACATTCTGAATAAAACAAAGGCCATTAGCTGCTGGAAAGCAACAGATTTTCCATCACACACAACACAGCTGGCTCTGATGTTTCTTTTCAAACTTATGCAACACTGTACTACTACAAGATTCTTCATAGAAACTACCCCTGCTGCAAACCAATTTGTTGTCAAGCTCTCCAAGGTGCTCTGCTCAGGCTACTTAGCTTTTCTCTCTGCAGATCAGACAAACAAGCTCAGGACAGTTCAAATCAATGCCGAGACAAATCAATGGCAGACTCTGTCCTGTCCAAGTATGCTGCTGAGCCTGCAGCATGAGATGAGGGTGTCTCATATGATAAAGTTATCAAAGGAAATAAAAATAAAAATCTAAATCAAAACGTAGCACACTGCTAGGAGCAAAAATATTGTAAAGGAGACCTCCAATGAGCAATGTGACTTGTAATCATTGTCAAGACAAATTTATTAAATGTTCATTCATTCTATCTCATCTATCTCATTCTATTCTATCTATTGCACAGATATTTGTTAGTTCATCAATATTAAGTTACAATAGAATATTTGATGCTAGACAGCCCAAAAATAAAGACAGCCTTTCTTGAGAAGGTTGCAATGTAAGCAAAACCTGATGCAATTAGAGATAAAAAGAATTTGCAGAACTTCCTGATTTTATTCTTTTCAGCCGTGGTGTAGCTGATGGCCTCAGAATACTCTCTTTCAGTCACCCTGAAGGTCTTGGAAAAGTATAGTTCTAACTACAATTTATAAAGTAGTTTAGGGTCATAAACAGGAGAGTCAGTAGTAGCTTCTTCAGGTAGTCTCTCACAACAATTATTTGTTTTTTAAAAAACCACACAGCTTCTCTCTGATGAAATATTTTTCTGCTACAATCTGCCCCTGTAAGTGATTAAGCTTCACTGGTAAGATGAAAACGGAGCCCACTGGTTCTCCCCAGCCCCTCCTTGGAAGAACTGAAACTGTCATACAGAGCTGGAGGCAAATACTAAATCTTTAAGACTCCATCAGGATTATTATTACTATTTAAACTCAAAGTATCAACCTCTATGTAAAATGGGCAAGGAACAAACTGCAGTGAATGAACATACTCTTATGAGGTTATTTTCTGCACAAAGTGAGAAAGTGCTAAAACATGACTAGTTTAAGGATTTATAAAAATACAATTCAAGCTCAATTAAAAACGAATTCAGTACACACTTAATCCTAAGCTTCTGCAAAACAGTAGTGATATGACATCATAGCTTTCAAGGACTGCTTCATTAAGAAAGCAATGAAGGTTCCTGAGACAGCCTTAACAGAAAATGTAAAGGGAAAGTGTTGTAAAGAGTTAGCAACACCTTTTCTCATTTCCTGTGCCACTTTCTTGGCAAAGATTTGCAAGAACACTGTTTAAGAACACAGCCTCCTTCTAACAGAAAATATAACTGCTGATACACTTGACATTTCTTTCCATTTTATAAACAGCACACTACGTTCACTTTAATAAATTATGCTTTAGGCATCTCCATACACTGAAAAGAATAATAATCAAATTGAGAATCATTCCGTCGTGACAATGCACAATTGCAAAACCACATAACTTCTTGCAAGAGACAAAACTGTAAACATGTTGGCAGAAATGCTGATGCTGCACTTCATGGACACGCAAAAAGCTCATGAGATAATTACCATAATCTTCAATTTCCTCTAAACATACCTGAAAAAGTAGATTTAAAAATTCATTGGCAAGTGCACTCTTCACACTCCATATCTGGTAGTCCTCCAGAGTGAGGTGTCCAAGCTTAGTTTTAAGGGAAGAGAAGGAAAGGGGAAGGAAAAAGCATCAAACCATTAAAATGCTCATTAAGTGTATCATACAAGGCACGACAAAGCCAGTGATTTGGCAAAAATCAGCATCTACCACTCTAACAACAAAACGTGATCCAATGAAAGAAGAAAAAGCCAGTTTTACCGTAACACATGCGACTTGGAGAACCAAAAAGCTTTGAGAGTACAGAGACCGAGCTATGCACGGCGCGTAACCTTCGCTCCTGCCCTCCATCATCATCCTCAATTGCAGCAGTCATACTTCCTCAAACCATGAAACCAGCAGAAGCAGTATGTGACTGGTCGGGGCAGTCACTTTGCAGGAAACAAAACAAGACTAAGACCATCTAAGATTTTGATTACCCAAGTAAGCTCTGCACATATCGACACTTGCATTCATTCCCAAACCCACCGTCTTCCTCTGTGGGTTGGGAACAACTACTTTGGATCATCCAATCTTTATGATCTCACCTTACCACACAAGTCCTGTTAATTCCTTACCACTTGCAAAGTTACAGTAGCGTAACACTGACCGATTTTCAACAATTCAGTGGTAGATCACTGTGATTTTTTTAAATTGTATTATAATTCACAGCCATCTCCACAGCAGCGGCCGTTACTCTGCCTCTTCTTACAGACCGTCCTCTCCTGAGTTCACACACGGCAAAGTTAACATCAGAGCTTGAGTAATTTATGTGATCACTGCACTAGCAGCTCTTTCCTAGTTGCATGATGAGCATAGTGCTGGAAAGACGTTCTGAAGACTTAGTCTTCTTTTCTAACTCTTTGTGGAAATGAGACAGCTATACACCTGCTTATAAATTGCCCTTTTTAAAAAAGCAAGCAATAAAGACCTTAAAGGATGAAAGCGAGCTCACTGCAGCCGTATTTTCTACTGCTTTGGTAATGAAAGAACTATAATAAAATATTTGCCCATCACTTTGTTGGAGTACAAGCGAGACAACTATTCAAACAAGTAATCAAGCATTTCTAGATATTCTTTAAAGTTTTTCTGGAATTATTTATAGTTTCCAGACACTCTTCCTAATTAGTGAAGCAGAGGACGAAAAAAATGGAAACAACTTCCCCTACGTTGTTTGCAGATGATAGTGCCTATCTCGAAAAAGCAAGAGCAAAATTAAACATTTACACATAGCTAACTATAAAGCACAATATAAACTATTAAGTCTTTTTGCTGTGTGTCACAAGTCATGACAGATGCCTCCATAGTTTCACAGACACTTAGCTCTGAAATAGTTTCACTGGTTGTATACAATATTATTGCAAACAAAGTAGTTTGATCATGATAATGCACAAGTTACTACTGAATTAATACAGTTCTGTCCCAGTATGAGATGATAATGTGTCTTTATATAGCACAAAATATAAGATATAAAAGAAGCAGTAGCGCATTAGCGTAAGTCGTTTTTAACTTGAAACAAAAAAACAGTTTCTCCAGAACAAAAGTCAAGCATCACATTTAAAACTGGTATTAATTATGCATAGCAAAGCCTTGCAAACAGTATATGCTTCAAATTAATTTTGTCTGGTTACGTATTTTTGGTTTAGATCATATAGAAAAATGGCTTCTAAAATTCAAACACGTTCTTTCTCTCACAGAACAATGTGGAAAATTTTAATGGAAAACGGACATTTTCTTGAAGGTGCTTCTTTTATTGACACATCTCTGCTTTAAAGAAAGCACAAGATTTTACTTACTTTCTTGTAAATAAACTGAAGATATTAGGGTATAAAAAAAGACAAAGAAAGAACAGCAAATTCCTACCTTTGTGGTATCATGCATATTCAAAATATCTTCTACAATTTCAGCCAAATCCATGTCCAACTCCTTAACAAACAAAAGGATTAGAAAACAAGAGTTGAATTCTCACAGCACTCTATGGAGCTACATGTGTTCAGAATAAACATATAACTGTCAGGAATGCTGATGATACCTCCATGTCATTCACAACGGAGTGCTTCCCGACAGTTGTACTTCTGTGCCTAAAGTTTCTTTATCTCAAACGGCACCAACTGCAGTCAAATCATCCTGCTTTGGTTAAGGCAGGGCAAAGTTACACAAGGTAAGTTACAACCAGCCACCAGTACTCCTCAGCAAACGTAGCTCGAGGAAGCCTGTATTTCACTGGAACCATCTTCAAACAACATGCACGTTTCTACTTTTGCAGGACGACTTTAAGAACCAGGAGCAAATGAATAAAAACTGAACTAGAACTTACAGGTATTTTATCGGTACGGTTATCTTTCCAGACCTCTAAAAGTGCAACCACCATTTCTTTAAGTTCAGTGCGAGACAACACACCATCCCGGTCAATGTCAAAAACCTTGAAGCAAACTGAGAAAAAAGGAAATTACTTTTTATGTTAGAACTGCTCAACAGCTTTTTTTTTTTTTTTCTCCTTTGCAGAATCTAAGTCTGCAGAGTCACAAGAACATGATTTAGTGCTGACAGTTTTGATGAGGCAGGATGCATGTGTGGTAGTGAGGAAATGGAGCAGCTGTGTTTAATAAACTGAAATCTAGACTCCTGCAATTCTGTGCTGTGTTTTCTGATGTGACATAGCAGGGAACATATGTGCATCCAGAAATTTCCAGTGAATGATAGCTTTTAGGTTGCAGCAATATGGCTTTGGAAAAGTATGGTACAAAGGCATTTCGAAACACAAGAATCTTGCAAGGAGTCAGCTGAAAACTGGACAGTAAACAAGCCAAAACATGCTATTTTCCACAAGACAATCAAATAGGACATTCATTTTATATATAATGAATAGATAAACGTTTGCACTTTCTATATTGAGATACACACTTCTGCATCGTAACGCAGAACACTGCAAAATAACTTCTGAAAAAAATTTTTTTTCCAAACAGGTTGATAATGTATATGAAGCTACTCATAAGTTATAAAATATACAGAATTAGGTTTAATCATGCTTTATAAAAGGAAGCCTTGATATTTAAAAACCCTTTAATTTTTTAACTTTTAAAGTCTGTCACCTTTCACAGACACACACTTCTTCAGTGGAAACAACTAAACTCCATTGCTCAAATTGGAAAACTTCTCCGAAATGAAGAGTTAACATTTTGCATACTTACACTTCTGTCTTTCTGCCAAGGGTCCCCTGCAACATGCTGAGAGCCCACAGGAAATTTCTTTAAAATCTATGTGATTGTCTCGGTTTTCATCAAAAGCATTAAACAAACCTGCAAACCACAAAAGCATCTCCTGTTACAGCATCTGGCTGAAACAGCTGACAATCATACTTCACCTTCACATGAAGGGTTAATGGTTAACATTTGCAAGGAGAAATACAAACACTTATGATTATAACTAATTCTTACTAAGTGTAATAAAGATAATTAAGCACTACTAAGATTATTTTAAAGGTGAATTAGATCACTCAGGTATGGCTACACAAAGCTGGGGGCAGGACAGCAGCCTATTCTCATGCCTTCCTCGTAGTGACTGATTTCCAGAAGCGTACATCTAAACCAGTATGGTCAGGACAAGCATTTTCACAAAAGCTAAAGGACCAAAATAGTAAACGTACTCAGATGACAAATCCTTTGGCTTTTCCAAGGTGCCTGACAATCTTCTATGAAAATCACTGAATATCATTGCAAATTTGGCCTTAAGTGAGGTAGGAGTTTTAGTTACTGGCCTGCAAGGGATTTAAGAGTTCTATTCATTCAGCACGCATAACTTTTTTTAATCCCATAAAAATGTATTTTTTAGTGGCAATGACTCAGTTGCACTATCCACAGAGGACATATAGAATGACCAGAAACCATTCGAGTTTCCCCATAGCAGCTGTGTAAACTTATATCACTCAGTATATAAAACACACTCACGAGCAAAAGGATATGGGGATATATCCCTATTGTAAGGGATACTTACTAACACAAGTTCTGGTGTTCTAACAGCTTGCATCCCCTGCAGATGGATTTCCCATTTTCTCCTTACTGCTGCCCCTTGTCAGTAAAGCTGGCCATTTGGTGACAAAACATTGTCACTCTAGGGCCACAGACAACAACTAGCATGTAAGCAGAATGTTACTTAACGTCTTCACGTCGTGCAGTAAATGGCAATTAGACAATTGCAACCCCCAGTTTACCAGAGTGGCTTTGACTGGAAAGACCAGCTTGGTTATTAATGTGTCTGCATTGCAACACACGATCCTCCTGCCCAAGCCTTCTGAACAAAATCTTCCTTAACTTACACTATTAGGGAAGACTGTTTCATTGACTGCATGATACAGCTTCTGACTTGCATTTAGAAAATGGTCTTCTATTTTATCTCATTCAGGGAATCTCAAGGAACTCAAGGAAAAAGGCAAATGATACGGAATGTCTGCCATATTTCCTGACAGCTAAAAAGAACGCAGCACACAGAAGCATCACTTCATTTAGCAGTCCAAATTTCCCACCAAATAAGAGATTTCCCAGGCATCTTTTCTCATTTTCAAACATTCAGAACCCAGTGGAATGAATCTCTGTAATTTAAGCTTAAAATACATTTTAAAAGGATCCCCTTTTCAAGCCCTAAAATTTGCATGTCAGTGCACCACCAGGTACTGGGCACCACAGCACCAGGACTTCCTCGCACGTTTGATCCAAGTTCCATACCTTCACTCAGAGATGGATGAATGGGAGGGGAAACTAAGGGGGCAAATGTTTCTAAATCAAAACGTCCAGTTCTTGATTGAGCTTTTAGCAGCCAGTATCGTTTTTCGAGATCGATGATGTCGGATTCTTCCACTGTATAATCAACAAAAATAAAAGAAATTTATGATAATATCTAGACCATGTCAGAATTCAGTACCAAATAAAAACGCAACATTATTTTGTCACAAAGAGAAATGATGTTAATTTTTCATGCCTGACTCCTGCATATAAAAATTGGCTGCTCTTGAAAAATTCCTATTTGAAATTTTTAGTCTTCTTATACAGTAATAAGGTTAAATTTTAATGTGACATTTAAACACTGTATCTCTGCATTAATTTTTTCCAAATAAAAACTATTTTGTTTCACTTTATTATTTATACTATAGATGCACTTAGAAACCCAGTCAATGTTGGAGACTGATTATACAAACCTACAAGACTTCATACTGAGGAACTTACAAGTTATTTTAAAGAAAGGGAAAAAAACAAAACCCCAAAAGCAACGAGTAAAACAAGGTGCTAGGCCAGAAGAAGACAATAGCCAGAGGAAGAACTTATGTTTTATTTCAAAACATTATATACAAATGCCAGTCTCCTCACAATTTATCCTTGAAATCAAATATAGATATATATATAAATACTAAGTTTCTGCTCAACAATACTTTTAGCCTTTTTACATATGCAAGTGTGCCACAACACTGCTTTAGGTCAGTGCAAATTAACTGGTTCTCAAATAGATATGTAATGACAAAGCTGTCTATATTAAGAAACGCTACGTGTGATCCCATTCCCAGATGGTTCTGAGCCTTTAAATCCACGCCAGCTTTCTAATAGGTTTAACTTGAGCTATTTGGCCTGGTTTAGTCTACAGAAACAATAATAATCCTGTAAGGCTTAAGAACAGAAGAGACCCAAAAAAAGTTACATGTCAAATGGAAATTTTATTGATTTCTTTTACTATTTCTGTCATTAGGAGTAGCAATTTAATCACAATAGTAACTTAGGTAGCCTACAATAACCATGAACTAGGTGCAAATATCTAGCAGGCACATCATATAATCCATCACAAACCGTACAATACCTTACCCTGATCAGCAGAAAGTTTGGAAAAATTTTAAGGAAAGATTAATATCTGAAGTAGAGCTGGAGGAGCAGCATCTTCCTGTAAAATATTTTTAGACAATCTAACTAGAAAAGTAACACCAGTGAAAACATGCCTTCCTTTTCCTCTGTACACTCAGTATAGACCGTACACTAGCACGCAGAACACCCACAGCAAAGGTGCCCTTCGAGGGTCACGTCAAGCTAACGTAACTTCAGGCTGAACAGAGAAAATTTACCTTCCCCCTTAATCCCAGGCAGAAGCTGCAGCATCCTCACTTGCATCATGATCAGCCATTGTGCATCTACATAGTAAGTGAGATAAGAGAACTGATCCAGAAGAGAAACTAAATTGATTTCCTTTTTCCTCTCCCCCTCCTTCCTAGATGGATCAGTTCCCTTATCTGGCTTACCATCTCCTGGCTCCTGGGTGTGTTGTAATCATAGAATCACAGTGGTTTGCGTTGGAAGGAACCTTCAAAGGCCATCTAGTCCAACCTCCCTGCAGCGAGCAGGGACATCTTCAACTAGATCAGGTTGCTCAGAGCCCCGTCCAACCTGACCTTGAACGTTCCCAGGGATGGGGCATCTGCTACCTCCCTGGGCAACCCGTGTTTCACCACTCTCATTGTAAAAAAATTCTTCCTTACATCTAGTCTGAATCTGCCCTCAGCACATAAGAGAGCAGTAGTCTAAACATATAAAGGAACATTATTCTGCTAGAAATCAAGAGAGAGAAACAGAGTAATTGTTTGTTTGAAGATCAGCATACAGAAATATCACAGGTGCTTAGGACTGCCACAGATGTAAGCAGCTTCATCATCCTAGGCAGAACAGTCAAGGGATGTAGAACTGTATCTGGTATCTTCCAAGAGATACAGGGATGTCCTGACGATTTAACAACATACCTGCCCTACAAAAGTCAGCATTTCAACAGATGAGAGAAAATCTAGCAAATAAAATACACTTTCCCTCAATCCTGTTGCCTCCATCCGAGTGCTACAGCACTGATAAGAAAGAGCTCACAAGACGCGACACTAAGACAAGAGTACCAGCGTTCTGCAGGAAACATAAAATGGAGTTTCAAGAACGGAAATAAACAAAAAGTAAAATAACAAACAAAAGATAAAAGCCACTTTATAAGACAGAACTTTAAGTACCTGAAGAGAATCTCATTACTGTTCTACTGCCTGAACAACTGCACATAAAGGGCAAGTTTGCACTGCCATTAGAAGAACTGCACATACACGTTATTGCTCGCGCACGTTAGCGAGCACAAAAGCATCACGCTAACTCTCCTGAGCATGACCACGTAAATCACTTTGTTTCCTCTTAATCTACCTTTGTGACTAGGAAGAATAACAAATGTGCTTGTTGCACTTCATTCTTGAAATGGTGCAACACTAAGAATATTCAAAACAGAAGGAAGATGACGTCTTTACTAAAGAGTGCATCTGCAGAAAGTTGCTTTCACTGGCAGGTGCATTATTTACCTTTATAATTAAGAACTGAAAGACTGTTTTATTTTGCCAGAGAACCTTTCTCAAATATCTATAGTAGAAGCTAGTTGTACTCCATTCAGTAAATTGTAAGTCAGTTTCTACAGTGCTAACTTTATTGCTTTATCATCTTAATCTCAGAAAAGAAAGGTTATTACAAAGCATCTTATCTGCATTTCTGTCAAGCAGTGGCCGAAATTACACAGTCATTTAAAAGACACAGAATTTTCAAATAATCATCTTCAGAAGCCTGGCTGGTAAGTATTAGTGTTAAGTGCCACATTAATAGTATGGCCAAGACAGGTCCAGCGCATTGACTTTCCACAGAAGAGCCAAACGTTTCAGAAAGTAAAACTCACACAGTAGTAAGTAACATTCTTTGTACTGATTAGACGTACACGACTTAGGTGGAATACAAGTAAAAACACGACAAAAGAATATTTTTCATTCCTAGTACCAATGAGTTGTAGCCCACTGCAATAGTTTCACCTCGATAAAACACAGAAATACTTACTGGATTACAACACACCTGAAAGTTTAACTCTGCAGTTGACAAGCCAGCTGTTACATAATTTGATGTCAATAAATATCACATGGAGATATTAGGCACCTGTGATATTGAAGCATATACTACCACTTTACTACTATATGCTATTTTATATCTCCCTCATCACTTGTCCATTAAAAATACGAAAGAGTTTCAGATCTGTAAAAATATGAATAGTGTTTCATAGTTCAGTTCTCTAAGAATTAGACTCATAACGTCAAGTACACCTCAAGCCACAGTCTCCATCTAGTAAAGGAAGAACAGGTAAGCAAAATATTTTCAGCAAAAATATACATCTGAGAAACTGTAAATCTACTAAAAATGAGTTGATTTAAAACCAGTCACCACACCGTGATTGGCAGTCAGGCTGCACAACAGTGATAAACACTAAAATAAAGTATCCTTCGTTTTAATGCCATTTTCATGAAATGTACACCCTTCTTCAAGATTACACAGGTAGCAGGCCACGGATATTCTTCTGTCTTAGAAAAAAAATTAAAAATGTGTTTTCATTTCAGGCACTATTTATTAAATTCTTTATAACACCAGAATTAACTAGGTATTTAAATACATTTCAGAACTGTAATTTTTTACCCACCTATTGGTACAATCCTCTCTGGTTCGCAGCAGTAGAAGCATACCATATTCCCAACATTTTAACCGAACCCACGTTTGTTTTCCTGTTTACCATGACATCCTCCGTGCAGAACCCAGTCCCCAGCTGCAGAGAGAGCTCTTCACCGTGCCAGGGCTGAGTCACAACTAGAGCCCGAACACCAAACAGTGTTTCTGACCAAACACACCGGTTTGGTGTGTTCGGATTAAGGCACGGAGGACTCCGGGACCTGGGCAGAGGGAGCTGCTTCGCAAGACGTAAGAGGATAACCAAGTGGCAAGATGCAGATTAAGTGACACTGAGGCTTTTTCCTATTCGCCTGGTCTGCTGTAATACTTTCATCTTTTTTTCTCCTAATTAAAAAATGGACACCCAGAGAAGGGAATATTATAACTTCAACCAAGATCCTTGTGTGTGTCAGACACAACCATCCAGGCGTTGAGCAGAATACAGATTATCAGAGCCTTAAGACAGGAATACGTACAGAAGAGGTATTAAACACTAGAGCTCCTCTCAAAGCACAAGTGTTCACACACTTGAAAAAAACCAGCACAGAATGAAATATGCTCTTAAAGGCACCTTTAATAAATTCAAAATCTTCAGAATTGTCTTCTAGTGGCCTTCCGTACATCATTAAGAGATGATATTTGAAGAGTGGGTACCACAACTGGAGTGGGCAAGCTACAGAACGCGTATTTAACACCCAGCCAGCCTTTTAACGTGAGCAAAGCTAAGTGGTCACTTCATTTCACTTTCCTTTTACAGACTCACATCTTCATCTTACCAGAAAGCCCTACAGGTTTATAAACCCATCTCTGACAGAAGAGGTTACTTCCACGACACTCAGTTGCAATTTTATACTGTTTCAAACACTCACTCTTACATTTCAACCATGCTGTCTGGTTATTCAGGGCTTCTCTCGTTTATGACACTAAATTAGTGATAACTCTATGTTCTAAAATATAATTATTATACTGATTACACACTTACTGCATCTCAGCAAGCATGTAAGAGCTGTCAGAAAAGAGAGTGGCATTTTGACGAATTTTTCTAGTGACAGAAGAGTCTCTTCAATTCAAAGAAGAATTAGGATGCTATTTAATAAGAACTCAGTGACACAAAAAACAGGTAACAAAGTTACATGGTCTGTCAGTTTGAAACCAGTTACCTCTCTGATAAATGTGAGTATTGTCCCCATGGAAAAGAAGCAAAAATCTGAGTATATAAGCCCATCACATGACAGAGACACACCAAAATGACGCAGTCATAAAAAAAGGCAGCCACCACCTCCTGTGTTTCAGCAGAAGAAATATTTCCAGTCAGTGAAGGA